AAAAATTTGGGTTTACGTGCAAAATATCTTATTGTAAAAATGTATGGTTGAAAATGAGTTTAGAAAAATATGAGTTTTTTGGTAATGAGGATCAAACAGGGGCTAAGTAGTGTTTGACTGAAGCTTAAATTATTGGTTCTGACTCTAGTCTTTTGTGGTGTGTTTTTTAACAGTTATCTACAAATGAGAGATGACCCTTAATCAAATTTTCGGTTTCATTAATGACTGAAGCTTTTATATTGCTGGTGCTTTGGTGCTGACTGCCGAGCATCTGTTTGCATCACCAGCTGTTGTGCATGAAATATTATCATGTCTGTAGCTGTATTTTTTGTGACATCAAGGGTCTTTGTTGACTTCTGCAGGTTAGGTACAATGAGTTGCAGGTCAATCGCCTTAGTAGGGTTTCCCCTTGGGAGATTGAGGCATCTGGTTCAATGTCTGCACCCGGCAGCTTTGTAGTACCGGGTGCCAAGAGAATCAGGGTCGGCGTTCCTGCAACAAAGCCAGATTTTCAAGTTATGAGAGGTCCTAGTGTTCTTATTTTGTTTTATTGTAATTACATACATTCCTTCTGATTGCATGGCCTCGTTGGAGAGTACTAACTATCCTATACTTCTTATAGATACGAATGAAGTTTCAGACTTTGGGGAGTCTCTAAGGTTCCAGAAGGTCTTGCAAGGTCAAGAAATTTCGGGGATTAGTACTCTATGTGCCGAAATTGATGCTCCAAGTCAGCATCCATTAGAAATGAGGCGCTTTCCAAGTCAAAATGGTTCTAGGATTTCTTCAGTGGGAAATAGCAGCAGGCGTCTGCACGTAGACTTTGAAAACTACTTCAAGGGCACTAGGTCATGTGAATCCTTTCAATTCCATAAGGTCTTGCCAGGTCAAGAAGCAATTTCAACCGTGCCACATGTAAGGGGCCCGACAGCTAACCAGGTGCACGAAAATGGCATCAATAATGTAATGAATGGTTTTACGTTGCCAACTCGTGGAAATAGTTGGTCCACCTTGACCCCGGGTTGTAACACTCGTATGTACTCTTCTGCAGCACTGATACAGACATCTTCACCTTCCTCTGTGCTACTGTATCAGCAAGCAAGCTCTCCGCCACCTCCATTTCAGGCATTACATTCTGGCAATGAGAAGAATCTTGAGACCAGAAATCAGGACAAATTTCATGTTTCTGAACGACTTGCGAGGAAGTTAACATCCTGCTCATCTTCTGAGAGTGCTGACACAAGGGAAGATCTGCAAGGTTGCTTATATACGGGTGGTTCGGAAGAGCATAACCAAATGGGGTTTCTGCCGCTCCCTCTTTCAACTCACTCATCCTTGAGAGGAAATGCAAATTTTGTATCAATGTGTGAAAGTAGCTGCAAGCTTTTTGGTATTCCCTTGACGGAGGGAAATGTCGGTACAAGTATGGGGAATCGTCCAACTGAATCTGCTTGTGCGTATGGCCATGAAAATGCTTTTCTGGCCTGTAACGAAAGACAGCTCTAACCAGAACCTCCATTGGCAACCAAGGTAATGGGTAACAGTTGTACCATAGGAAGTGACATACATGCTGTAAGAGATATGCTTCTTGATATAACACAAAGTCTGCAACACATTTGGATTGAAATATGAGAAAGGAATTATTTATTTTTGGAATTCTGATGTCTATAATGGTTGTATTGATGATTGGGACTGTTTATCTATCCTTAAGACAGTCGAAGTTTGGCAGCTGTTGAATCATTGTAGTGTTCAACTTGCCTAAGTGTAAATTAGTGCTAAATTAAGTGGCAAGGTAGAACTTGTTTTAGCATTATGCATGATTGCCTCTGGCTTAGGTTTGAGTCTGTTTTAATGTTAGGTAAATATTGTAATACTTTGAATTTCTGTACCATCTGGTTCCTTTCTGCGAGTTGAATTTTATCTTTCTAATACTTGAAAGTTTTATGTGCTTAAATATTAAGAGAAGATAGTATATACTGGGAACACGCGTGCAATTCCTAAAAACAAATCGTCATACAAGTCCATTTCCCGCGTTTCTCAAGGCCCAATAAGCATTTGTCTACGTGTCAACAAATAATTGGTCGGTCATAAATATGAAACCAGTTTAACAATGTCACGTCCTTGGTTCGCACTGAGTCGCAACTCTTTGTATAACCCTTAGTCGAATTCTTTTTATTCTTATTTCTCCAATTTTATTTTTTTAACAATTTGGAATACAAATAGTTCAAACTTCAAATATTTGAACACAAAACTGGTGTCTATTAGTTAAGGTACCATGCACCATCGTATGTATACACTTCGAATTTCAAAATAAACAAATTGTATCAGTATTTGAGCAGGAAGAAGGAAATATCTAATGTGGTAATTACTTAAAATAGTACTTGAAATTTTTAAACTTTCAAAATCAGATTGGCACTTTAATATTTCCAAAATTAGATATTTTTATTTTAATTA